AAAAAACAAGAAAGAATAAGCTTGCAGAACAATACTGTATGTGTTTGTGTATATATGTGTATATTCTTGAAGACTAAACATTTTCAGGCAAACATAAAAGAGTAAAACAAATATAAGAAAGAAAAGGAAACAAAACCTAAAAGAAATGAAGAAGAGAGAAAAGATTAAACGACATTCAATAGGAATGATTACATGATTAATACCTTGTGGAATTAAAGGAATATATGACATGTAAAACGGGGAAGAGTATGAATAAAATCATTAATGGAATGTTTCATGTAAAAGAAAAAAGTCATGCAAAAATCTTAGGGTAAGGCATTTCTTTAAATAGTAATTGTCAACATTAAATGAACAATTCTAGTAGTGTGGCTGTAAAGATTGAGAAATAGAATTTGATTGAATAGAAGTCAAGGAGAGATTCATGAAAAAACAATCAGACTTCCAGTAATTCCTGAAGAAAAGACAAAATAAAGGGGGAGGGTTAACATGCCAAACACCCACAGTTTTACACAGTAGTAACAATCAACCTCACAAATGCTGCTGACAGCCTCAGCGTGCTACTGAATTAGCTATCATCAGTCAATCAAAAGAGCCTTTTAGTAACGTATCTTTGCTTTGTGTGATGCACAGTGCTGGATTTAGTTTGTAGTTTTTCCTAAATAATACACAGACATAGAATATGTCACATTGAGTTGGCTTGCAAATGCTGAAAACCCTTTCTGAAAAAGGGGAGGGGGGATTTAGAAATATATATGCAAGACAAAGAAGAAAAAAGAGTTTCATATTCTGGGCAGTGACATTATAAACCAAACAACATGCCTGAATTAAACATGCATGCACTTTGACATGTTGGCCTCTTCACTTGTGTATTATACATACATTTATTTATTTAATCTACATCTACATTTCATCTTCTCTATACACATCCTGTTTTTATTTAAAAAGCCAAATGCATTGTACTATATATGGTGCTGTATTGCATAGTACATTGTGCAACAATTCCTATCCTAATGTGCAGAACTGCAGTGTCTTGCTAGAGAGCACAATTTTAAGTTCTAGAAATTCTCTTCTGTCTGAGCTACAACAATACTTAAAGTAGCATTTACAGTATGTGCCACACACAAACTATATAATTATTGATATAATATAATTTATTATAAATTTATCTATGATGATTGTTGATGTAGCAGTACTAACAGATGTCATGGTTTCCTTGGTCCTGATGTCTCAACATACTGTAGATAAGAAATGCTGTAGTTATTCTCATCCTGGCCGCATGCAGAAGTGAGTGGATCTATATGACACAAATGAAAGACAGCTCATTAATAATATATAATACAGTAATTGACTTGTTTTTGTATTTATAAAGCAATTGTTTTAAGTGTATTTTAAGTGTTTTTTCTCCAGTATATTATGTTCCAGATGTGGCTCCAATGTCACGCATATCAAAGCGAAAGTTCTTTGATAAAGTAATCTTAATGAATTTAATAACTGTACTGGACGACTATTAGATTTAATACATTTCTATTGGTGTTTGCATGCTCACTATTTGGGATCTGCATTTTTCTGTGTTCACCAAAAAACACAGAAATACAGTAGCCATTCACACAATAGTTGAATAGTATGCAACATACCTGTTACATCTGGGATATTACATTTTATTACATAACTGGCCCAGTGTTTGTGGTTTTTTCATTAGAACATTTTACATTACATTGTACATTGTGGTTTTTACATTGTTGACTACGATAAAAAAAATCCTCCTGAGTTAACAGACAACTTAAAAGAGGAGAAAATCTAACCAGTCATGTGACTCTTCAAAGTGGACTAGACACATTTCCTTCCGCTGGTGGAGTGGTGTAGTTTCTATCATTCTGACTGACTCTGATGCTTTCCTTTAAAGAGGGAAGAACAATGTCATTTTAATGATGTCCGCTAAGGGTTTAGATAATATGAAGACTCCCTAAGGTTAAACAGACAATATAAAAGAGGAGAAAATCTAACTGGTCATGTGACTCTTTGAAGAGGACTAGAGTTGTTTCCTCTGGTTGGTGGAGTGGTGTAGTTTCTGATGTTCTGACTGACCCTGATGCTTTCCTTTTAGGAGGGAAAAACAAAATTATCATTTTGACAATGCTTTTCAAGGGTTTAGATAATATTAAGACCTCCTGCCAATATTTGTATCTAAGTTTTTGCTTGATTTTTTTAAAATTTCTGAATAAATTTATATGATCATATGTTCTGCTCAGTCAATTACAGACATTCACAAGGTACCTGTAACCCAGTATTTTTTTGTTTTAAAAAATTTAAAAGCATTATATATATACTGTAACAAGCAGTTTACTTTGCCTCTGTGTCCACTTTAAAGAGGGCAACTGACCTCTCAGGTTTGGTGTGAAGATGTGATGCACGTAAGTCCACCATGTTCATCGCCATCTGAACCCATCTCTCTGTCGGGTCAGCACAGATCTCCCTTTGAGCTTTTGTGATGAAACTGAAATTCAAAGAGAAGATGGTTAATGATTTTACATAACCGATTTACAATTATAAATGATTCTAATTAAGACATTACAAAAATGCTTACATGATACCAGTCCTGTGGCATTCAAGATGTGTAGTATGATAACTCTCAATCTGCTTTACTGGGATTTTTGCATTGTAAAAAGAAAAGCAGCACTTATCAAGACCTTGGATGACTATAGGAAAAAATACAGATGAAAAATGCAATGTAATTAACATTGTGTTTAAACCCAGATACATTTAAAGGGGTCATGAACTGAGAAATCTAACTTCCTGGATATTTTGACATGTAAGTGGTCCTGTAAGTTTCAGAACTCAAAACTTCCTTGTTAGTCCAAAAACAGCTTTATTGAAATGAAGCTCAGAAGTTGGCTCGTTTCAGAATTTGTCCTATTATGAAGTCATAGTGCGACAAAGACCGCCTCCTCAGAATCAGATCAATGCCTACTTACATCATCGCGGCTAAACTAAAAATACTATTACCTTCCAAATGATCCTAATGCCAGGAAGGTGGTTATTTATTTTCAGCTATGTGGATGCTTCAGTTTGGGCATTATTTGTTTGTTCAGTACATTTCACTGTGGATTCTTTGGTA